TATTCTTTTAATTTTTAAAAAGGTTATAATGAAAGAGAAGGGTTAAATCCCTTAAACCTACCCTGTGAGCTTTCTAAAAAGGTCTTAAACCTTCCCTCAACTTTGACCTGCCCGTACGTAGACGTTCCCCCACTTTTGGGGATAAAGAGACTCACAGACGCTTTTTAAATAGACAAAGATATTAAATGTCCTTTGCCCATATTAATTCCTCTATAGATTTTTCTTAATCTTAACTTTACCCTTAAATTGTTAAAGATTTAAGGGTGTTTTTTGGTTAAAAGTTTAAGGGTATTTTAGTCATCAAACATTTGATGATTTTATATACGGGTAAAATTGGCATTATAATATGTTTAAAATTCATGGCATCAGCGGTTGTTGTTAGACTTCTAACAATAGAGTAACAAAAGGGGTGTATAAGTCCCTTTATCCCAAAAAGTCCGAAGAAGTTTAAGGGCATATCAAAGTTAAGGGTATCCGAGCTGGGTTTGGGCCGGGCTTTGCCTTTATATTAACAGAATATGCTCAGGCCCAAGCCCAACCCCAATCCTAATATATAGCTCAAAACCCAACCAGAATTTGGAAAAAAATATATTTTTTCTTTCTTATTCAATTAAAAATTATTTTAATATATATATATATATATATATATATATATTAAAAAATCTCACTATTACTTGAAAAAGAGAATAAGAAAGTCTGAGCCCGACTTGAAAAAATGTCGAACCCAATATTTTAGGCCCAAGCCCAAACCTGCAGACTTGAAATCTTGTCCAAACCCAACTTAAATAGAATCGGCCCAGCCTAATCCGTCAGACTACCCAACCCATGAACAGGTCTAGTTAAAGGGAAGTTTAAGACCTTTCCAAAAAACCAATGGAAGGTTTAAGGATTTACCTTAAACCCCACCTCAATTAAAGGGTGACCCCATGACCTAGTTCTTATTTGACATCCTATATATATGGCAGTTTAAAGATATATGGTGCATCATATACTAGCAAAGATGGGATATATTCCATCAAATATAAACCCCACCTCCAATCATCAAAGAAAACATTTATTTTTTTTATAAATATGACCATTAAATGAGAATCACTATAGTTGGGTGATGTCACATTGAATATAAATATTTCATTTAGACAATTTAGGTAGCAATGCCAATACCAAACACAATACTATTCAAAACACCTGTTCAATGCCTTGCTTGACATAAGTATTAACCAAATAAGTTTCATATAAAAATGCTTGTCATGAAATGCCATTACCTTTCTAAGTGAGTGTTTGGTGTCATGGTGAGGTGTGGCAATATAATTGAGGGTAAAATAGACATACCATACCCCATAAGTAGTGTACGTTTGGTAATGGATGAATGCTGACTAGGCATTATCGCCACTTGAATCATATCTATTAACCTACCTACCATGCATGCATAGTAAGCCAGGAAAGTTCCACACCATTTGAGATGCAATAGCTCCAATAGCTATTGGAGGAAACATCTATTGGATGTTTCATGTCGTTGTGTTGTGTTGTGTTGCATTGTGAAGCATGGCCGCAATAAGCTCAAACAGTCTGACCATATGCATTTTATTAGTGTTTTTCTTAAATGCAGATGTGGTGTTGATGAGGATGCTAAACAGAATCACAACACCTCCATACTAAATTAACGTCCCATAAAAGTTTGAGTCTGAAATGGCAATGATATCAAATAAAACCTCAGTGAGGGTATTCTTGCATGGGGGCCAAATTTTTATGGTTGGTTGGTGCTAGACGGTAGGGGTGAGCAGATGGATAGGTTCTATCTGGAACCGAATGGAATTGATCTTAAACCGGCCTTGAATTGACTCTATTTAATCTGTTACAGGGTAGGGTCTAATTCCAAAATTTTGGAACTGATCCCCATTCAGGCGGGTTCCAAGGTCTAGAAGGGTTACCCTACCCAAACTGACCTTGATTGACCTTGGTGGAACCTGCCTTCGAACCAAAACTTACCATGAAATAAACCCTAAAATACTTTTGGGGATGTGAAGATTTGAACCCAATCACTGATGGTTAGAAAAGCCATGGTCTCTCTTGACCATTGAATTACTTAAGTTATTTGATCATTTGTTTTCATTTTAATATTTAAATGTGTACAATAAGTAATGTAAAAGGTAATATTTACAAAATTTAAATTTAAATTATAAGTTTTGAACCATATAATGATAATCTACATACTAAGTTACTCAACTTAAATAATAAAGATAATACAAGTTTTAAACTATATATTATATTTATTGACAATCAAATTTTTAAAGAACATGTTTTTTTTTCTTTGAGAGGGAGGAGTAAAGAAAGAACAGATTCCATGAATAGACCCTGGAATCGGCCTTTACAGAATATGTTCTGATTTCAAAAACTTAAAACCGACCCCTATAAAATAGATTCTACGTTCTGCCATGAAACCAAAAAGAACTGACCCATGCTCACCCCTACTAGATGGGACAGGTAACAATACACATAGAGCTTAGATGTTAAGTATATTCATTGCCAATGCCAAAAGAACAACTCTTGGTGAGAGAACTCAAATTGATGAATCAAAATAAAAATTTGCATTTTAGAAACTTCATCTTTTATCAACTTGTAATAAGGAGGATATGAATTTTAGTGAGGAATAATAACAATAATATAAACAACGACTTCATCTCAGGGTTGCATATATAAAATAGTTTACTATATCATTTCTCCACTTTAACTACTCTGTCTAATTATATGTATTTGCATATGCATGAATCTTTGGAGATTATCTTTCAATTGTAGTCACTATATGGGCTCTAGCTGTGCATTTAGATCTATTTTTTCTAATAACATAGGGCAAATGCTAGCATTTTTATCTACAGAAGTGTCATGTCATTTCTAAAACATGTTTTTGAATTTCGTCCCTTTTCTGAATTAAGCTCCATTTGTTTGTTGTGAAAATAGTTTTATTTGTATTGGTATAAATTATCGTATATGGGAGTATTCATTTTGGGATGTCAGATTCCTTGTCTATTTCTTGGGTATGCCTTTGAAGGGAATCCATAGATACTCATTTTTTGGACCCAGTAATCAAGAAGTGTGATAAGTGGCCTGTCAAAAGATGGGATGGGAGATTACTTTAATTTAAAGTAGCATTGGTTGATCTCCTGCTGATTAATTTCTCTCAATGTTTCAGGTCCTATATAGAAAAAGTGAGAGAACGGTTAAAGAAGTTGTATAGGGATTTTCTTTGGGAAGGAGGAAGGAATAAGGGTTCTCATCTAGTGAATTGGGACATTATTTGCAAGGGGAAGAGTGTAAGTGGCCAGGTGGGTTGGGAGTAAAAAATTTACATTTACAAGATGATAGAACACAGTCCTTTTAAGGGCCTGTTTGGTTTGCAGGAATAGGGCTTGGAATCGGAATCTGAATGGTTTATTCTGATTCTAACTGTTTAGTTGGAAGGAATTGGAATCCCATTTTCATTTTCATTTCTGTTGAAATAGCATTCCCCCATTTTAGTGAATCGCCATTCATTGCCTCTTTTTTGGGAATAAAATCCTATTCCTATTGATTTTAATTCCCATTCTTATTCCTGTCTGAACCAAACAGAATATGGGAATGGACCATTCTGATTTCGATTCCAGAGAATTTCTATTCTAATTCTGATTCTGATTCCAACTACAAACCAGACCCTAAGTAAATGGTTATGATAATATCCGATACACCAAGGCATATACACTCTGGATAAGGGCGACCAAAAGTAAATTTCCTAATAACAAAGAACTAGTTAAAACAAATATGTTTGGCCTACTTTAGTGACTTTAAGTTAAATTTCCATCCATCAAAAAAATAAAATCTGAAAATTTCCCCGTGAATGAAAGCAGGAAAATGGGTGGGGGACCACCCTTTTGAACCCTAAATCAATTTTCCACATGGAAAATTCTTCCTTGTTTGGAAATTTTCTCTGAAATAGTACTTGTGAAAGAAAAGCCAGAAAACGTTAATTTCGCAGCTCTTAATTTCCTCACCCTACAGATAAGGTAGGACCATGGAAAGACATTTCTAGCTTTGTCTTGTTCTATGCCACTTGCATAAATTTTCTTCCTATTTTTCCATGTTTTTTGGGAGTTTATTCCCCACCCTGACATTTTAATACTAGAAACCCCCCTCCCTACGAGACACTTATTTTTCTAATTCCAAAACTAACTTTGATACTCTATTAACTGATTTTTATATGATAAGAAAATTTGGGTTCTTTTCTTCGTCTTATATATTTCATTGCCTACTTCAAATACCCTCACCCCACCCTCCAAAAATCGAATTTCAGTAAATGAATAAACCTACTTTTGGAATCTTGATTCAAAGGATGGATTTAATTAAGGAATGCAATGTGCCCAAATCACCACTCAATAGAAAATATTTAATTATAATTGTCTTCATCAATACACTAGACGAGTAATGCCTTATGATAAAGCTCATCATGAATGTTTGTGGAGTTATTTATTTATTTTAGTTATATATATTGACTGTGGATTTGAAGTGTGAACAAACACTGTCCCACCCATTCCTTATGCTGTTGAAGCTTATTTAATTATGAGGGTAATAAAGATTGAACACTAGACCATTTGGTCAAAATAGCTTTAATATCATCTCAAAGAACCATTTAACCTAAAAGCTTAAGTCGTTAAGTGAGGTCCTTGAATAGATTGACATTTTCTAAAAGTGTAAAATTTATAAGCTTATTTTGGAAAGAGTGAAAATACAAATAGATTTATTGCAAAATCTTTTATGTATTTCTAAACCTTGTATTTACATTCTTCCCTTTCCCAAACTGAGCTTAATAATTAAGAAGTAAATAGGATGCATATCTGACAAAATTTAAAGTTCAAATTTTGCATCAGGTAAGAGTGTAAATCAAGGACACAGACAAATGGATACAAAACCGAATTGGATGCAAAATTTGCATCCAGTTCAGATTTGCATTGCAAAATAAGGCAACTTAGAAAGAAAATCCAAATGCAAATGAGATTAATTAACAGATATCAAGCCAGAAATGTTTATTGCAAATTATAAAGTTTTTGCATGGATCATAGGTAATCAAAGCCAGACGATTTATTAGCAGCAGATAGACTGATGGACACCCCCATTGAAGAACGTAACTCTAGCTAGTAAGGTCGTTGTCCTACATAGTTGCCAGGAGGATCATAGTTGCATGTGACGAAGTCCCAACCGTTGTTGCAATGAACTTTGGCGCACCCAAGGCGAACTGAGTCTCTCCACACCACCTGAGTGTAATGGAGGCATTCACCCCCACTACATGAGTTGGAGTTGTAGTCGTAGTACTGCTTTTCGTCTACCCACATCTTCACGGCATCGGTTCCCGACAAGGAAGGCATTGCAGCGGCGAGGTTCTCTCCGTAGGGTCCGCCGGAGTGCACCAAGGCACAGTCGCCGATCCTCTGATTGGCATATTGTTGGGCGTAAGCAGCTACCTTGTCATCCCAGGTCATAGACCCAACACCCACCTCCGCACGAGCTGCGTTGTGAGCGTTGATGTAGTCTTGTGGGCTGTCTTGAGCTAGGGAGACATGGAGCCCTGCAGCTAGGCCTATGATGAGGAAGAAGAGAGCCGATTTAGGGTTGCAGAAGCAGAACGCCATGATCTGCATGCACAACTACTTAATTAGAATGCTTGATGATCAGAAAAGATTGGCAGATATGGGGGCATTTATAGGCCAAAAGAGAGGGTGAAGTTATCATGTTGGATGACGTAGAAGAGGAAGAATTTTCAAAGATTGACACAAGAAGAAGACTAAGTCATGCACAGGCGGCAATTGTATGTCCTACGTTAACTTTTCTAGCTGAGCTCGTCTGAAAGAGTTTTTCTACTCATTTAAAAAAAAAAAAAAAGAAAAAAGAAAAGGAAAAAATACGGCTTAATGAGCAAACGTGTTAGGTTTGGATTTTCGATCCTCGGGCTGGATTCGGGTCTAACAAATCTGACTTTCTTATTTTTTGGATTCCTTGAATTCAATTTTGACTTGCAATGATAAGGCATCTCTCGGGGTAATGATGTTAGATTAGATTAAAGGAATTTTACAAAATTTTAAGGATGTAAGGTTTTGTTATATTCCTATAATTTATAATTATACTGTTAATACGGTTAGCTCAAAAAATGATCTTATTTTAGATTAGAATATTAAAGGAATTTTACAAAACTTTAAGGATGTAAGGTTTTGTAATATTCCTATTATTTATAGTCATACTGTTAATACGGTTAGCTAAAAAAGATAAAGAATCTATTAGTTTGTGCTGAAGTCACTTCATATCTTAATTTCTCTGAAATTGTAATAATTAATTTTAGAGATGTATTGGAATTGGTTCACTTTTATTTGCTCTTAAATCTGAATGTAGAAAATGTAGTTCTCAAATCTGAGTATCTGAAAAAATAACAATTCACTATTTTAACCAAAGATATGAGGAAACATGTTTGAATTTTAAGAAACTAATTACCAATTAATTAAATGAATATAAAATAATTAAGATAATAATAATAATAATAATAAGAATTAATTATTAGTGAAATTAATAATTAATATTATTTATTTTTAATTAATCAATAATTAATTATTGGTTATAGAGGTATAGGCATATGGATACATGAATATGGGATCATTTCACTTGGGTTAAATGCAAGCTCTTAGTTGTTCATAAAGTCTATACAAATCTAAAAAGATTGTGATGGGTATGTATGGTACTCATTCACTCACACTCAATTTACAACACATAAAAAGCTGGGTTATCGCAAATGGCTTAAAAGATGGGATTCTAGCCAATAAGGTGGGCAACTTTTCGCCCCTAATATCTATAAAAATAACCATTTTAATAATTTTTTGGAAATATCAAATAATTTCTAATCTGTTCATCTTCTTTCTCCTCCCGAAGCACTGTACAATGACAACAAATCTCCCCTACCTCCAGTCTCTCTCTCTCCCTTCTTCTTCTTCCTCTCTACTTCTGAGTATCTCCAAACTCAGAGCAAAGCAGAATGGTGATTTCTCACCATTCACAGCAGAGCAACGTCGTCAGTCTTTTTTTTTCCACTTGGCATTATCTAAGCTTTTGCGACTGAGAACAGAAGAGGTAGGGAAGTTCTGAAAACAATGCGGATAGGAAGAAAAAGAAGAAGGAAGAGGAGGGAGAGAGAGAGAGAGAGATTGGAGGTGGGGGAGGTTTGCCACCATTTTTCAGTGCTTCGGGAGGAGGAAGGAGGTGAATAGTATATCTTATGCCCTTTTTTTATATTTTTTCAAAAAAATTATCCTATTCTAGAAATTATATTAAAAAAGGTAATATTTTATTGATATTAAGGGTGAAAAGTTGTCATTATTTGCTAGAATCCCTGAACAAATATTCCAATGGGACCCACACATGATACACCTATTTTCTATTAGTAGGAAGCCCCTAGGAAAGAGAAATTAAAACTTAATAGACCGGTCAGTCACGGTGAGCAACAGTTATTACCGTAATTTGACTTGCATTGGAACTTTGGTTAGTCAATAAAATTCTTACCGAAACCTTAAGGCTTCGTTTGGCGCATTTTTTCGCGTGGGCTGTCGGCTGTTTAGAAGTTTGACAGTCCATGTGTTGGTCTTTTCCCGTTTGGTTGGGAAAAACATCTAGCCGCCAAAGGATGATGCCTTGAAAAGATGCATGAAACCTGTTTTGGGATATTTTTGAGAAGTTCCAAATGGAGATTTTCAACTTCTTTCATTGCGTTTTCACGCGGAAAGCATACCTTAACCATATAGTCTTTACGCTACTAAGGTCTTAATGCAAAAGCTCATATCATCTTTTGGCTATCAAGTCTATTAGAAGATCTTTCAAAAAAGACTTACCAAATGACACATTAGTCTAGGAAAGAAAAAATTTACAAGGGTAGAGTGAAAAAAATGATATTGGAAAAAGACAAAGAATGTAAAATTGTTCTTTTTATTAGGGAAAATTCTCAGTTAATTAGTACCCTATACTTTGGGCCTAATGTCACTTTGGTCCCTGAACTTTAAAAAAATGCAACAATTGAGTACCCGAACTTTCAAAACGTGTCAGCCTAGTACATATTGTTAACTAGTCATTAAGTGGCATTTGAAAAGATATAAATTCCCTTTGAGTGTCATCTAATTCTCTTTATCAACCATCCAATAGTTTACAAGAAATGAAAAGTCCTAAATCCTTTCCTCTTTTGTTCAAGAAAGTTGGGGTCACCGGAATGCCCATTGAGACGTAACCCCAGCTTTCTTGAATAGAAGAGGCAAGAATTTGGGACTTCATTTCTTGTCAATGTTTAGCTGGTTGATAAAAGAGAATTAGATGACACTCGAAAGGCATTTGTGTCTTTTCAAATGCCACTTACCAACCAGTTAACGGGCTGGTTAACGACTAGTACTGGATTAGCACACTTTTAAATTTCGGGTATTGAATTGTTGCATTTTAAAGTTTAGGGACCAAAGTGGCACTAAGCCCAAAATACAGGGTACTAATCAGGAATTTTCCCTTTTTATTATTGGTATATGGATAAAAATAGATTCTAGAGAAACCTTTGTATTACTTAACATTTCATTTTTCTATTTTGGCTTTCCTTGTAATAGGGGTGGAAATGTTGACCCCAACCCATTTGACCCACCCAACAAACCTACTTAAAAACCCACTCATATCCACCCATTTTAGATGCGGATCATTATGGGTCGAGCCATCCATTTGGGTTAGGGAAAAAGGGTCAAAGTGGGGTTGGGTTGAGGGGTACCCATTCGATTGTAAAGAGTTAGGGTTAGTTGGGTTGATGGGAGGGTCAAAACTCAAGGGAAAAGGGTTAGGGTGGAGTCTCAATTGTCTTGTACTCTAGTATTTGTTCCGCCAATCACCAGGTCGAGAGGAGGCTTTTTGCTATTTGAACTTCAAAGTTATGGTTTTTACTACGGCTATTCTCAGTAGCTAGTAGACCTGTTCATGGGCCGGGCCGGGCCAAACTTTCACTCTGTATTAATAGATTTTTCTAAGGCCCGAGCCCAGCATGACCATCGGGCCTACAACTTGGGCCCGAGCCCGAAATTTAGCCCATATTGTTACTACTGCTGAAGTGGCTGAATAAAGAGAGAGAGAGTGAAAGAGAAATTATAAAGAAAAAATAAAAAATGTATATATTAAATTATAAATATATATATTTCAATAAATATTATATTATTTATATATTTTATATAATATATAAAATACACATTATGTATTTTATAAAATATATAATGCTGAGTCGGGTCAGGCCGGGCTTTTTTGACAAATCCCAAGCCCGGCCCGTAACACAGTCAGGCTTACTGTGTTAGGCCCGAGGTCAGGCCCGCGGGCCTAATTACACGACCAAGCCCGATCGGGGTGCGGGCTGGGCCATCAGGCTACCCGGCCCATGAACAGGTCTAATAGCTAGTGATCAAAACCACCGACGATTATTCACTTTCTCCCTTCTTCTTCTTCTTCTTCTTCCAAAGGTTGGGTTCACATAGCAGATCTCTCTCTTTGCTCTTTCCACCATGGTAGAACAAGGTCGAAGGTTTCCCATTATTACAGTGATTAATGATATGGTTCAAGATCAGATTTCACACTAGATCTGGTTCAAACCCAGATCTATGTTCATCATTTTCCTCTATTGAAGATAGGGAGAAAACAAATTTGGGTTTGCAAACACAGATCCACCGCTTGTAATGGAAGAGACCGCACTAGCTCTGGTTCAAACCCAGATTTGTGTTCATCGTCTTCCCCTATGAAGATAGATCTATGTTCGCAAACACAAATACACCGCTTGTAAAGAGAGGATGGAATTTTAGGATTTCAACATTAAGTTTATTCCATTTCTTTCGAGAAACTCAAGAATCAAAAAAACTTTTTGGAAAATTTCCTACACTTTTTACATTTTCTTCGTCTTCCACTTCTTACATTTTCCTACACTTTTTTTTTTAATTTCCTGTTAATTTAAAAAAAAATGATAGAAACTTCTATCAAAAAAACTTTCCTGTTTTTTTTTTTTTGTTTCAGATATATTTTCTTAAAATTTCTTATATTTTTTATGAAATTTCTCATTAATTAAAAAGTTTGATAGAAACTTCTATGAAAAAATTTCCCTACATTTTTTCGTTTTATTTTTCTTGTATTAAAAATTTCAAAAAAAAATATCAAATTTTGTAATTTCCCACATTTTTTACACTTGGTTTTCTTGTGCTTTTGTTATTTATTTGCATTTTTGTGCTTTAATATAATTTTTGTTGTTTTGTCCTGCAGTTTTTATATTTTTCCACTTTTTTGTTTTTCCTATAATTTTTGTATTTTCTTTGTTTTTTTCATTTTTCTATAATTTGCAATGTTTCATAGTTTCTGTTAGTTTTTAAGAATTTATACATTTTCCCGTATTTTTTGTTATTTATTTGTAATTTTTATGTTTTTCATAATTTCTTTAGTTTTTTTTCAATTTCTATTTTTGATATTTTATATTTTTAAATTTATGTCTTGCACTTTTTATCATTCTATGTTTTTTTTGTTGATATTTCTATGTTTAATGCATTTGAGATGGAGAAAAAAAAAGTCACAATTTGGGTCAGGTTGGATCATAAAAGTGGGTCAGGGTGAGTCGGAGTGACCCACTAACATCAATAAATATGGGT